GAGAGTGAGCTGTTAGGAAACATTTAGTCTTACTCCTAGTCATTCTCTGACTTTCTGTCCTATCAGGTCATCTTTCTCTTTTGCATATATTCCAGCCATGGGGACATCCAACATGAGCACCACACCAGAGTTCCAAAGAAACTGAATGATTGTGAACTTTCAGACTAGAAAACAGTTAACTAAATATCTCTCTTAGCAACTCCCTCAGCCTCAACTGACAGATTATCACTATATAGCACTGACTGGCCTGGAATTTACTATACAGATAAGGCTGGCCTTAAACTTACAAAACAGCCTGCTTCTGTCTCCCAAGTACTAGAATTAAAATATCTTTTAATTTGTAAGTCACACAGTGTTTGAGTATTTTTGTTATTTTAACACATACAAATGTGTGTGAGCAAGACACACACACACACACACACACACACACACACACACACACACACGCACACGCACCTTTTGAAACCATGACACAAAAACTGGTTGGTTTTGCAATTGCTTATGCAATTTCCTTACAGGTAAATCATTTCAGAGTCACTACATCTACAAAGGGAAAGCCTGTGAGGCAGCCCTATAGGAACATCCCAGGTCTGTCCCTAATGGTAGTTAGATGAAATACACTGTGAAGCACTCATGCACAAAGCAAGCAGGCAGAACTGCTCACAGTGACAAAATCTGAGGTGAATTAGCACCAGTTTCTTGACAGGTAACTTACTACAGTAACAGGCGTATTTAAGTGTTGGTAGAAGCCAGTACATAGGACCTTCCCAAACATTTCTCTGCAGTGTTCTCAGTATCCATAATTCTTAATAAAAAAATGGGGGTAAAGTATGACATACCTATAAGTTTGTCTGATACCATACCACACTTATCTATTATACATATATAGAATACTAATTATACATTAGAACAGTTATCTCATACTAGAAGTTAGAGGATTAAAGTGGAAAAGAATATAGTATTTTCTTAAATGCCACTTTCCAAGAACCATGGTAGATATTTTTGATTTAATATTTCATTTAACCTTTACAAATGAGTTATAAGGCAATTAATTAAGAATATCAGCCACTTTTGTACATAGAGATGCTAACTTTGAGGATATTTTTGTCACTTTTTAGCAGGTTAAGTCTACTCTTTTCGGGTTGACTCTATTCCTCACTATCTCATCGTCTAACTGCAATCTTGAAAAAAATATTTATGGCCACTAAACTTGTCAAATGAATCTTCTTAATCAAGAGGGAGAAAAGGCCTTCATGTGCAATACTACCTCTGATGGGAAGTTATCATTTCTTTGAACTCCTTAGAATTAGCCCACATCCATTATCTGAAACCCTTGGAGACAAACGTATTCCAGAATACATGTTTTAGAATTTAGAACAGTAATGTGGCATATGCATTATTATATATCACAATAATACCCAAGCAGGTTAGAAACCAATCATAGCAGAAACTACAAATAGCCTTGTGCCAGTTCAAATGAATTTACAAAACACACATACACATACATACATACACACAAACACACTCTTTCTTTCTTTCTTTCTTTCTTTTTTTTTCTTTTTTTTTTTTTTTTTTCTGAGACAGGATTTCTCTGTGTAGCCCTGGCTGTCCTGTAACTAACTCTATAGACTAGGTTGGCCTCAAACTCACAGAGATCCACCTTCCTCTGCCTCTGGAGTGCTGGGATTAAAGGCATGTACTGCCAGTATCTGGATATTTCAGAAACTTTGAATTACAGGTTTATTAGAATAACTTCTTGGAAAAAAGAAGTTTATTGAGCTAACAGTTCAAGATCTTCAATGGTATATACCAGCATTAGCTGGATCTAGCAAAGATTTGGTGGTGAATAGGAGAGTATATTGGACTCCATACTCATTATCACAATTCCAATAACAAAGCTGGCTCAGAGTCCTGAATTGAAAAAAGGAATATTAGCGATGATGTTCAATGAAATTAAATGATAAAGCACTTGCCTCCTATCTATCAGAACTTTTGGCAACACCCAGCACCCACCTCCTTAAAGGGGATTGGGGAATGCTACTTGACACCTACACCCAAAAGAACAGGAAATGCCCACTTCTTGAAAAGATATCTGAATTAATTCTACGAGTAAGGTATGAGCCAGCACACAAAGACATCACCTAAGTGGTTGCTACCAACACAAAAGCCCTTTAAAATAAATGGAATGAGGACACTTAACACTATTTTTAAGACAAACACAGCAGGTGAAAAGGTTGGAAGAACAGTCGATGAAGCTTATCTCAATATAAAAAATAAGCCTTTTGAGAAGCTGTAACTAAATGTGAACAGGAGGCAGTATAAAGCTGAATGCCACAGAGCTGGATATTAATTCCTGTAGCCCCTCCACACTTCAGTTCCTTCAGAGCAAACGGAAAATACTAGTACGTATCCCAAAGAAGGATTTGGAGAGTAGCTGGTAAATAGATACTGGGCATTTAGCACATACACAGCAGATGGTAGCTCTAGACAGAGTTTCCCACCTGGTCCCGCAGCCATTTAGTCCCAAATAAACACAAAGCAGCTTCTATTAATTATAAACTGGCTGATGGCTCAGGCTTCTTACTGGCTAGCTCTCTCTTAATTATTAACACATTTATATTAATCTGTGCATCTCTACATAGTCTTGGCTTACCTTCAAAAATATTTATATCACTAATTAAATATTATCTTGTGGCCTAAAGACCAAGAAAGAATCTTACATCATATTAGCACTTGCTTAGTAAAATGTTGTGATTTCTCAACTGTTTTTGGAATACCTTCTAAATAATCCAGAAGACTTTAAATTTAGAAAAAACTTCAAGTATCATAACTTTATACTTCATATTACAGAAATTAAGAATGATAACATAACAAAAGAAATGGAGGTGTAAATACATAAACTTCTTTAAGTTTCACTAGGTTACCTGTGTCACTGGCGGGCTCAGATGAGAGTGGTTTTGGAGCTGGAGTATTTTTGGGTCTGGCAGCAACCTGAGACGGGGATGAAGGTGTGTTTTCTCCATTAACTACATGTGAACAGCATGAGTTGGAAACAACAGTATTTGTTGGTACATGATTATCTACTCCAATAGTACTTTCAACAGTCAACCTTTAAAAAAAAACAAAAACATAAAACAAAATTCTAACTTCAATGAGTTAAGTACAATAAAACAATCTGCTGAAAGAGTTTACATAAAAAAATTCCCTGACTTTCTAACATTCAGTGGAGTGCTAGATAGAGCAGAGAAAAAGATACAGCCTGCAGTTCCCAACTTAACTACACTACCTTCAGTTGTAAGTGTCCAAACTGGCAGACACACCAAGTACTCTGAGTGTATCTAGGCCTTTAAGAACTGTTCAACTTGTATATTTTAAATAAGAATATTAGGCTACTTTAAATGCTCCGAGAGTAGCTTCAAAGGCTCATGAAAGTATAAGAAATGTCCCAAAACTAATTCTAACCTTGCAATTCTATTTAGATAATTCTGATTTCATATCATTCCAGACATCCAGAATCAGTGATCTAGAAGTCTAAGTGACAGAAGTCTTTGAAAGGTCCCTGGCACTGCAGGGCTCAGTTTCAAAAGGAAGATGTACTACCATAAAATAAAACAATAGTAGTTTTGGTGGTTTTTGTCTTAAGACAGGTATTCCTAGAAGGTCCAGGCTAGCTTAGAAATCATTGTGTAACTATGGCCAGCCCTGCCTGAATTTGCAAGCAAATCTCTTTGCTTCTGCCTCTCAAGGGCTGGCATTACAGGCCTGAGCAACTATGTACAACACAGGATTACCTTTTAGGTGGTAGTTATTTTAACTTAAGAAAAGCAGTGCGAGAGAAAGACAAAATGTGACAGGGTTCAATCAGAGCGGTTTTTTATTAGGGAAAAAGGATCATAAAAAAGGAAAGGGGAGTAGGGAGACTGGCCTGTGGGATGGGAGCAGCAGCAGCAGGGGAGAGGAAGGGGGGACCAGGAGGACTTTGGAGGAGGAGGATGAAAGGTGGGCAGTGTCCTTTTAAAAGGGAGTGTAGTGAATATGCACAGGTGGTGCTCTTAGTGGCTGCAGCTGAGGGTGTATCCTGTCAGAACCCCAAGGGCAGGCCAGTACAGATGCCTGAGTACTAACAGTAGTAATTTAAACTCCTTTAAAATCTAAAATTGTACTTTTAAGAATTTAAACACATTAATGCTTTTTAATCTACAAACTGTTACACTGTTTCAGTCATCAATTTTTCTCAGTGCAAATTATAATCAGGAGACTGTTTCTTTAAGGCAAATACACAATCTGAAAGCATAGTTTCAAAAGCTTTTTATAAACAGTATTGGGGAGGGGGCTGGAGAGATAGCTCAACTGCTAAAGGCTAGACTCCCAACTGAAAACACAAAACAAAACAAAACAGTCAGTATTGAGAATCAAACCCAAGTCTCCATGTATAGTAAGCAAACGTTCTACCAAGGAATTGTATTCCTGACCCTTTTTCACAGCTATTGTTTTGAGACAGGATTTCACTGAGCTCCCCAGGATGCCTCAAACCTGCTGTCCTCTTGTTTCAACCTCCCAAGTATCTCAAACTGCAGGAGTATGCCACATATCTAACATGTCCAACTGCTTTGCTGAGAAGCATCCAACGGCAATTAAGAATCGTTATCAGTAACAGTGCAAAGTTCAAAAGATTGTACTTTGCCTCTTACTGGAGTATTTTCCTAGATGTATCAAGTCAATTATATAAGAATATATTTTTATATTTTTGGATTTTAATTCCACCATATTTGAACTATTATATACTCTCATTCCATTTATATGGCTTAAATCATCTCTTAATTATCACAAAATGTGAATAGCAGGGAGGTTTTGAATGGCAGGATGAATTCTGTGCCCATAATCTGTGGAGCATTTATCTTGTGAAATATGGGAGAATGCCAAATCACTAAAGTCTCCCTCCCATTCTACTCACTCTATTAAACAACAAATTATAAATACTAATTGTGAAAAGACATTATTAATACAAAAGGAAGCATGACCACATTCCATAGCGTAAGTGAATAGTTGAAACATTATGCTACTTAAGAGAAGCATTTGTTTACAGAAAATGGACAGAACAGTGATCTTCTTATGTGTTATATCTTAACAAGCTGTTATTTTAAAGCTTCTTTCCTTGGGCAAATAACATCTTTATATTGAAGCTTTTAAATTTGTTATCTATTAATATATTTTGATAGTTTTTGATATACAGTCTTTTAATGTAGCCCTGGCTAGGCTTTTAAATTTTATGACAAATACTAAATTGAGGATGGTACATGCCTTTAATGCCAGCACTTGGGAAGTAGAGGCAAGTGATCTCTAAGTTCAAGGCCAGCATGGTCTACAGAGTGAGTTCTAGGACAGCCAGGGCTGCTACAGAGAGAAACCTTGTCTGGAAAACCCCAAAGAAAGAAAAAGAAAAAAAGGAAAAGGTTAAACTTCTAAATCGGGTGTGTTATGTACCTTTATCCTCAGCAGCTGAGCGGCAGAAGCAAGGGGATCCAAAGTTAGAGATTATCTTCAACTGCACAGTAAGTTTGAAGTCAACTTGGACTACATAAGATCCTGAACATCCCCAACTCCACCCTATAATATAATCCTAACAATCAAGAAACTGAAGCAGGAAGATCACGAATTTGGAGCTAACAGAAAGTAAAGTAAATTAAAAACCAACTCCATGCCTGGGAAATACTGTAACATGTTGCCACAAAGAATAAAATGAAGCACTCTACCTGGCAGCTGTCTGTATTGAAGGGTCTCCATCTTCATGTAAGGCATCACCATTCTGCTGTATTTCTACTAAACATCAGGAAGGAAAGCAGCTCAGTTGTTAACATATTCCTTGTCAACTTTGTTTACTTAAATTTAAAAACATATAAGCACAACTTACTGGGTGTAGAAGAGTTGTGGTTTGTTAGATTTTCTTGCTCAATCACTAATCCATCAAGCACAACTGTCAATTCACCAGTTTGCATTATGCCATTCTTGTTTTCCAAGGAAAGTTTTAATATTTCTTTCACTTTTTCTACTAGAAAAAAAAAAAGAAAATTCTAATTTAAAAACATTTGCCACATACAGAGTTATGTTTTAGAGATACCTTGATTCAAGAACTGCTGTATTTCAGAACCTGACTGCTGCATTTGGAAGTAATTCTTTGCATATGTATCTGTAGACCTTGCATAAACTACAACAGGAATAATTCCATTCATGGACAGTGCAGCTCCACACTTGTGACATCATCTTTAATTGCTTCTTTGCACAGTGTAACCTTCAGAGGATAGGCTAATACTGTTTACACACTAAGCACAACAGCTGTGTAAGCTTGTTCCTGAGCAGAAGCCTGAAGACCCATGGAAGAGGCACAATTTCATCCTGAGAGTCAAATGTCTTAGTTATCAGTTCCACTTCTGCCACTTACTAGCCAATACAATGCTGTTGTTCAAGCTTTATTTAGCCTCAGTTTCCTCGCTTTTCATTACAAAATGGAACAATGAGAACATCAAAAGGGTATGCACCTTTTAATCCAGCAATCGGGAGACAGAGGCAGGCAGATCTCTGAGTTCCAGGCCAGTGTGGTCTACATGACTGTTCCACGGAGAAACCCTGTCTCAAAAAACCAAAAACCAAACCAAACCAAACCAAACAACAACAACAAAAAACAAAACAAAAAGGAAGTAAAAGGAACCAAGAGTAGCCAAGAGTCACAAAGACCTACTTCAAAGCTGCACAGAAAGTTAGGAGACCCACACCTAACACAGTAGTTGTTCAATGTGCTATACACTGTGAAGACAGCTTGATGTTTCTTACAGAAGACCACATACTTCCCTCCCATTAAATCTATTCTGATTTAAATACAAAACTACTTTGATTCAACTTCCATCCCACAGACTATAAATTAAATTTACTTGGAAATCAAAAGGATTTGTAAAGACAACAATGGAAGAGTGTAACACTTCAAATATACAAAAGGAATATGGGCTTTCATGCTTGAAATACATTATGGTATGGTGAATTAGTAAATAATTATGTACTGTAAAGTTCAAAAATCACTGAAAGTTTAAATATGTATCACAAACAAGGATACTTGAACAGACATATTAATTAGCTTGATTTGGTTACTCAATCTTATACATAAACCATAAAATCACTTTTTACTCCATAAATATAATTTGTCAGTTAAGAATTTAGAAAAATAATTCTCCTTAAAACTCATCAGTGATCATTTTATTATTCAATATGGAGATAATATGATTTCCCTTTTTGTGGTTGTTTTTTGGTTTGTGTAGCACTGGTTGTCCTAGACCTCACTATATCCACAGATGGCCTCAAGAGATTTGCCTGCCTCTGCCTCCCAAATGCTGCCCTATTAGTAGAAATTTACTGACATAGATATATGCATCAGAGAAACTATATGAAGACACAGGGAAAGGATTATCTACAAATCAATGTAAGAAATCTCAGAAGAAAACAACATATCATCACCTTGATTAGATTCTAGACTCAAGTGAGAAAAAAGCCTCCAGTTGTTTAAGATTTGAGTATGATGGAACATGACTGTGCTTTTAGCATTCAAAAGGCGAGACAGGAGGATCATGAGTTTAAAGGCACTCTTGATACATAGTAAGACCCTGCCTCCGAACAAAACAATAAAAATTTAATGACAGGTACATAGGATACTACTGCTTTTTTTCTGAAGCCCTCTGCTTACTGTACAAATGTTTATAAAGAATTTTTCACCTAAGCACATTCTGCTCAAGTAGGTAAAATACCTCAATTTATACAATTTATTAGGATTTCCTCTCAAATTATATTGGCATTACAAGTTTCCTCAAAGATGACTGCATAAGATACTTTACATGGAGATTAGGTGATTAAATATTTATATGGGGGGGGTTTAACACAGTCTAACCTTCAGAACAGAGTTAGAAACAATCTAAATGTATAGCAATAGGAACATAGATGATGATATAAGAACCCAGGTAAGAAAATATAAACTCAGAAAGCCTATTAATTTCTGTACCAAGAGAAATGACATGTCCAAAATAAGTCAAGCAACAGCAGATAATTAAATTAGCATAAACCATACATAATATATTTTCCTTCTTTAAAACTCCTAGTGTTAAAAAAAAAACTTTCAATTACATGTGGATTTTCAGATGGAACTTTTTTATGAAGCTAGGGGATAATATTATTAGAGTTTAATAGAAATACATCCCAGGGCAAGCAAGTTGTAAATCTCAGCAGTTGCCCACAAGAGAAAAATAGAGGCTAGAAGGAAGAGTCATGTTGTTTGCATTGCCAGCATGGAGATCTCTGCCTAAGGGCATCAGGTAGCCAAGTGGTAGTTAGGGAGTTTTAGAGGAAGAGTAAGGAAGTCCAAGACATTAGAAAAGCATCCTTAGGTGCTGACCAGCATCCAAAATAATGAGACACAAAGAAGAGAAAGGAAAAGCTGCAAAGGTGGGCAGATTCAATGACATGGCAACTTCATGTTAGCTTCGAGGGGATGTGTGGGATCAGGAATTCTGGGAAGGAAAAGTACTAATAATTAAAGTACAATACTTTTAAAGGGGTAATAAAGCAAGCAAATTCTTAGAGGTAATCCCTCCTTCCTGAGGGGTGGTACCTTGGCCAAGGGATTGACTTGCCCAACTGACAGTTAGGTCTCTATCCAGATCAGAGATTTTATTCTACTAACCAGAAATGTTTCCCATTGCTACTCTCATATTTCCCCCTCTGAAGAAGTAACTCTAAAACTATCTGGGCATCACATCAGGGATCTGAGTCCCTAAACACTTTAACCATCTCTAGCCTATGGCAAAGATGACACTACTAAGAAGCCCAAGGACAGTTCTGGCTTTTACCCAAGAAACAGGTTATCTTGAGGCAGGGGAGGGTCTTTATCCTCAATGGCCTGGCCATTGTTCCTATCATTCCTTTGTCTGAAGAAGTGGCACCAACTGCCATTGTGGAATTGGGGCAATGACTAACCTGACTTTGTGAAGGAACTTAAAACAAAACAAAAAAATCAACTTATCATTTTAAGTACTGACATTTTAAATTCAACCTAGCAAACCAATGTTTCGTTTTTGTTTTTGCAAAGTGCTGGAGACTGAGCCAAGGGCCTTGCACATGCTAGGCAAGTATTCCACTACTAAGAGACATCTTTGGTCCCAACTTTGAGGACTTACTGAAAACAATAGCTAAGAAAATGAGACAAAGATCCACAAATGTCAACAGAGGTATTACTTCAAGTGAACTGTTGAACACTGCCCAATATCAGGAATAACAATGTATGGGACCTCTAACAACGGAGCCAGTCTTTATCCCTAGAGCACAAATGGCCTTTGGGAGCTCATTCCCTATGGAGAGACACTATTGCAGCCCAGATACAGCAAGAAGGGCCTAGGCCCTCCCCCAAACAATATGACAGACTTTGAAGGACTTGGTGGAGGGCCTCACTATCCCTGGGGAGGAGTGGGTGGGGGTGGTGGAGGGAGGAACATGGGAGGATGGGAGGGCAAGGGGAAGTGGGGGATGGGTATGTAAATATGAGCAGTAATTAAAGAATTTAAATTAAAAAAAGGAATAACAATGTAAAAGCCACTCTGTAGCTCTTGTGCTGGAAAGAAGGGCAGCAACTAAGTGTGTGTACTGCTCTTGCAGAGGACCTGAGCACGCACATCAGGTCTCAAGCCTCTAGCCTCCTGGGGCACCTGCATTCACATGCACATATTCTCATCACAAAGACACACATACATAGAATGTAAAAATAAAATAATCCTGAACTAGTGTCCCTTCAGCAGTACTTGTGGCACAATTCAGAGATGAGTGGGCCCTGTGCCAAGGAGACATTCAAACTTGTGAAATGCTTCCTTAAAATATGTCATGAACTAGAATTCTGGTTTTTAAATCTTCAATAAGTACCAATTTAAGATTTGATTAAACCCACAAACTCTTCCTAAAGAATTATAAATCTATGTATATACACCCAAAATTTTGTACATACTGACAAGAGGCTTAACATTACTGTAGTCTGAACTTCTTTAAGAAACCCAATGCCAAAAAATGTCAATCATGAAACTATGGCATTTATAGTATAGTGCTGATTTTTTTAAAAAGAGAAGTAGATGATAAGTTCAAGGGAAAAGTATGTCTAAGAAGAAAGGAAAAAAGAACAAATTATTGAGTGGTTATCTTTAGATAGAATTATAATTTCTATACTCCTCTGTGATTTTTTTTCCTTTTTAAAAAGATTTTATTTATTTATTAGGCATACAACATTCTGCTTCCATGTATATCAGCATATCAGAAGAGGGCACAAGATCTCATAACGGATAGTTGTGAGCCATCACATGGTTGATGGGAATTGAACTCAGGACCTTTGGAAGAGCAATCGGTGCTCTTAACCTCTTAGCCATCTCTCCAGCCCTATTTTTCCTTTTTTAAAAAACTTTTTTGTTGATTCTTTGTAAATTTCACATCATGCATCCTGATCTCATTCATCTCCCTGTCCCTTCATATCTACTTTTGCTCTTGTAACTTCTCACCAAAAGAAAAGAAAAGATAATTTAAAAGAAAAACATATCACACTATGGAAGCTGTAGAGTGACACAGTATACTCTTTAGTCCACACATCTTTATTTCCAAGTGTTCATTGCAATGAGTCATTGGTCTGGTTAGAGGCATCTGGCTTCTACTATATCATTAATACTGGGCCTTCATTGTGACTCCTTTTGGACATCCTGTTGTTGACATGTGTCAGGTAGATACTGAAGCTTTAGTGATGAAGGACTAGCCCCTTCACATGCTCCAGCAGATCATAGATGGGATGGAGGCTGGAAGTAGGCCAACTCAGCCCTGGCTCTGGGCCTGGGTGGTAGCTGGGTTCGTCAGCCCACCAGCTCTCCCCACCACCAGAGCGAGCTCTGCAGCATTGCCCCAACTAGACACCCTAGGCAGCAAGGAGAAGAGGCAGGGCCTGTTCTCCTGCTCTCAGGTCCTAGGGGTGGCTCACCTGCACCCATACCATGAGGGCCAGCTCTACTGTGTTGCCCAGAAGGGTGCTCCTCTGATTTTTCATTTCTCCACACTTTTTTTTAGAAAGAACTGGTTATCACTGAAAAATTATAATGCTAAAATATTTGATCTGAATAAAGTTGTCACTGTCAAGGAAAATAAGAATATGATCAAAGGCCAGTGACACAGTGACACAGGCAAAAAGTCCCTGCCTAGTATGCATAAGGACCTGTGTTTGATCCCCAGGATCAGAAGGGAGGGGCTGTCTTGTTTGAGGGGAGGGAGAGGACATGCTATTTATCTATTCACCCTGGTCTAACCTGGATTTCACAATTCTTCTGCCTTGACCTACTGAAACCTAGAATTACGGGCATATACCATCATGCTTGAACTAGGTCTTAAAGTTCACAAGTAAATAATAAATGAGTGGTGGTAATTGGTATCAAAGAACTGGTAGACGATCTACAGTGTGGAGAAAAGATGGGGAAATTCTGCCCACTGTACATTATAGCACAGCTCTGAAAGCAACCACTGGCAATTGTAAGTTCTTTATAAACACACTATATCTCATTTCTGGACTTTAGAAGGATATGTTTAAAGTCTCTGAAATAATGTGTAAAGAAATGAAAGTTAGAAGGCCACTTACATTTCCTGTTGTGTGTTATTAGCACTTGTTTCAAGTCCACTGTTGCTCTCCCTAACAGAGCATCTGCTTTTAAAGTATGGTGACTCCAAACTCGAAACTCCAAGGTGGTCTGTGGGGTCACATTTCTGCATGAATAACATTATAACAAAAATAAACATGGCATCACTGAATGTGCTAATTCTTTTAAGTTATCTATTTCAATGGTTTTCCTAAAACCATGAATTCAGTTTAGTACAATATGAAACAGTAAACTTATTGGATCATAATTGAATATAACAAATATTTACAAATACATTATGACTTTAAAAACTACTTTGGGATTTTTGTAGTTAGCAACCCACTGAGCAGCACAGCACTGATTGTCTTGGTGAGACCTCAGAAAAACCTCTCCTGTGGGAACATATTTCTAGAGCTGTTCAGAATAACTGGCAGTTATATTTGATAAACTCAGTGTTTATCAAACATTCAGAAAATTAGGGCCATGTGGAAATAACTGTCTATAAAACAAAAACACAATTATTGTGCTTCTTCTCTGAGAAAAGTGAAATGAAAATTTTCATCTGTTAAATTCTTTGTCAGATAAAGAAAAAAACCTTGTTACTTCAAGTCATTCTACAAAATACAAAACATGGGACATGTGGCTTGAAGATTTTGTATCCTTTACATAAGATACTCACACAGTCAGCTGCTCATCCCATTTTGGATTAGAAGAACTACTGGATTTTGCTGTTTTCTTAATTTCTCCATCTACAACGACTTCAGTATATATTGCTGTTCCAAACCAGTTTTTTTTTCTTTTTAGTTTGGCACTAGAAACTTAACAGAAAACAATAATTGCTATGTAACCAAAAAAAAAAAAAAATCATAGCATTGCCAACTAGTAAACCTATACACAGAAGTCTTCTTCCACCTCTAGTACATGTCTCACTGGCAAAAGGAGAAGCTACTAATGTCTTAAAGCCATCTGAATTTCTCAGTAACCAATTTATTGAGGTAATTCATCCATTTGAATAGGATAATTAATTTTTAATAGATTCAGACTTGTACAAATAACATTTTTGTTAATTCTCCAAAAGACCAACTGATCATTAAGTAATAATTTCCCTATCTTCTGTCAGCATCCCCCAACTTGTCTCTATAGATTGCCTGTTCTGAAAAATTCCATGTTGTGGGATCATATACACAGTCTTTCACGACTGCTTTCTTTCACTTAACATGCTTTCAAGTTCCATCAGTGTTGCAGCATGCATCAATACTTCATTCTTTTTTCTGCCAAACACCATTCCATCATTGATATACCACATTTTACTTATCTATTACTTGAAAGACATTTAAATTATTTTGTAGCTGTTATGTCTAAGACTTCTATAAACATTCATGTGCAAGTTTTGCTGTGGACATGTTTTCATTTGCCTTGGACAAATTAGAACTGCTGGGTAGCACAGTAAGTCTCCATTGAATAAATGCCAGACTATTTTTCCAAAGTGGTTTCATCATTTTACACTCCTGTCAAAGAACAATGGCATCTGACATCTGTGTGTCTATTAATTTACATATTGATATACATTTTAAATAAAATTCTCCCAAGGTAACCCAACATAGACTTGAATTCACGAGCCTCTTTCATCTGTTTCCCAAGTTCAGAGAGTCATCAGTGTGTACTACCATATGTGAATGGTTTCTATCTTTACCTGCTATTTAAATATAATTTCAAATTATAAGAAGGACTGTGAGAAAAGTAAATGCCTTATTTTTACTAAATTCATTTTACTAATGAATAGGTGGTATTCACTATATAACTGTGGCCCATTTATTATAAATTATTGAATGTTTTACTTGGAAAAAATAGTTTCAATCAAAAACTTATCTATTTAAAAATTTTGAAAATCAAAATGTAATCACGAGATAAAAATTAATTATAGCCTTTTACAGAAAGGGAATCTTTAATTTACCCAAAATAATAAGGAATTAATTTAGCTTAAACATGTGCTTTTAATGATTGCAACTGCTATTCCAAACACAGAACTGTCCAGTTTTCCAGGACAAAATACTGACTAACAACCAGTGAAAACAGCACATATGATCACCTCTGTAACCAATTCACTCTAACTATCCTGGGTCTGAGATGACAAAACAAAAGTACCCATGTCACACCCATGAATTGCTAAGATAAGAAATAAAGCAACATAAGCTTCCATTCTGCTGAAAGAAATTAGTCAAAGAAACTAATGAAATACAAAGTGAAAAATAATGATAGGGGTAAAGTGTGAAATAGTTACCCCTCTATTAATATGTAAAGAATATCAAAGAAGATTTTAAACAAATGTTTATTAAAATACTGACAACAGAGTGCAAACCATGTTTAACATCATGTCTGAAGTGCTACTGTGAGGGTCTTACTAAAACTCATTCTCAACCTTCAGTGTTGCAAGTTGCTCTAAGTTTACCACCAAGGGACTGATATAAGGGGCCAGACTTGTTACTTCTCAAGAAACTACCCATATAGAAGATTTCATTCCAAATAAAAGTTATTTCTTTGATACATACAAGTCCTATCTTTCCACACACTGTAAGCAAAGAGAAGGCAATACAGGATCATATTAAAAGCATACAAGTGTAATTTATATCTGGGTTCACATTTTATGAAGGAGGTCAATTAACGGCTCTGCCCCTCCATTTTCTCACCTGAAAAACAGGGGAACAATAATACCCAATTCTTAGGATTGGTGAGTGAAGGCATGCAAAAGCACGATCATCAACAAATTCCCCACATCCAGTATGGTGACTTTACCTGTACTAATGAGTTAACTGCAGACCTGCTCAAAATATGCCCACTGGGTATTTTTATTTGGCAAAGTGCTTGATAGTATTAAAAGCTGTAAACAGACCCCCCCCAACAGATTTTTTAAAATATCTTTTTTTTAATGTCATGAAAATTTGTAACATGGTGGCTCAACAGTACATATAAAATTAATAGTTTTAAATAAAGTCAATGCTACTATCTTAAACAGGAGTTCTAATTAGTGGAAACAGGATAAATTACATTTTCCCATTTGTTGGTTTACCTTTGGTGTTATACTTGAAATGCCCTTCACAGAAACACTATGTAAATATTGGAAATCAGAAGACATTGGATGGGGTTCCTTAATCAAAAAGGCCCAGTAACAGTAACACTCCTGAAAACATTTAATAACAAATGTCCACATGAAAATTACCATAAAACTTGAATGATGGAAACCAAAGAGGAAGGAAACGATTTGATATATTCTTAGATCTGGTAATTTTAACATAAAAGTTTTAAATCATCACCAATTTAATATGTCATTTTACAACAAAAATACCAAATTACTGAGTTTGAGTGATTGGGGTAGACACAGAGAAAAATGGGGGGAATTTGCATAAATATGAATAAAATAGGAGCTAATTAAAGACTTCTCTAAATTTATGTACTATAAAATGAAAATAGCTAGACAGTATGATAATGATGTAAGAAATATGAGTAGAATAAATAAGATAGTAACAATTGAAAACAAGAAAAAAAAGGTTAACCCATAAATAATTAAATCCTTGAGAAAAATCACCAAAGAGCACATCACAAACTCTAAAGACACAATTTAAGTGAAATTAAGGCCCCTGGGGTGACTCTGTGAGTAAAGGCAATTGTTACCAAGTCTAATGACCTGAGCTCAATCCCTGGAACATGTATGCACATACATAAATGTAAAAAATCAATATATTTTAAAGTATAATTAAGGTACCATGAGACACTATATATACCTTGCAAACTTTGCTTCTGAAGCTGGAAATCTTAAAATCTACAATACTAAAAATTACTTATCTCTGCATGCTACCATACTTATGTTTGTGATATAGTAAATTATCACATTACAGTGGGTTACCTTCTGTTTGACTTTTAGATCATGGTTTTCCTATTCCTAGGATATTTATTGGTTGACTGGGTGGTTGGTTTTTTAGAAGCTGAGATGAAACTCAAGGCCTCACATACACCAGGAAAACACTGTATCATGGAGCTACACCCACAGCATACTGTTCTTGTATGCTTCTTCCCTTCAATCAGCTATAGATTAAGAGCAGAAATAAAGAAGAGACATGGGCACACACATGTAATTCCAGTGTGTAGGGGGCTAAATGGGGCTGGTCACCCTAGGCCCTACAGAGAGATTTTGTCTCAAAACAAAAAAACAAAAACAAAAAAGGAAAAAGCAATATGATGGACATGACTGTAGTCCCAGTACTTGGGAAACTAAGGCAGGAGGAATACAAAGTGAACACTAGCCCTGGCTATACAGTTCCAGAGCAATATAAAAGCTTGACTAAAAAGAGACAAAAACTAAATTAAACTAATTCTCTCTGCTTTGTACTTACATTTGAAGATATAAGCTATTGGCTTCCTGCTCCTGATGTCATGCCTGCCATTTGCTGCCATGCTATTGTCACTACAATGGATTCTTATTAAGCTCAAATAAACTTTCTCTTCTGTAAGTTGCATTGGCCATGATGTTTTATCACAGCAATAGAAAAGTGATACAGAAGTTGGTACCAGAGAGTCAACTGTTGCTGTGAAGAACCTGACCAGGTGGTTTTAGAGGAAATTGGAAAAGTTTGAAACTTTGAGCTAGAAAAGTAGTTGAAGACTGTAAGCAGAGTTAATGAGCCATCCTAGCAAGACTGGGGAGACAGCAATGCTGAGAACAATGCATGTCACGGAAGCCCAGCTTAAAAGGTGTTTCAGAGGGGAACAACATTAGCAACTAGACTTATGGCCATCTGTGTGAAATTTTGGCAAAGAATTTAACTGCTTTTTGCTCTTTTCCTAAGAACTTGCCTGAGGCAAAAAATTTTAAGTAATTGACTAATTTCTTTAGTGGAGGCAATTTCAAAGCTGTTGTAGAATATTGTTTTAAGGTATGGTACAATTGTTTATGTGCTGGAACATTCAGTTAACAATGTTAAGATGTGTTGCTTTTGTTTATGCTGCAGTTGTTTAACTCTGTGAAGTTGTGATGCTTTGCCTGTCTAGAACACCTGATGGTTTAATAAAGCATTGAACAAACAATAACAAGGCAGGAGAAAGAATAGGCTGGGCTGGCAGGCAGAGAGTATAAACAGAAGGAAAAAACTGGAAGGTGCAGGAACAAGAGAGAACAAAGAGAGAAGGACACCAGGGGCCAGTGACCCAGCCACCCAGCCACCCAGCCAGGCACTGAATAAGAGTGGGAATAAGAGTGAAAATAAGATATACACAAGTGGATTGGAGAGATAGCTCAGAGGTTAAGAGCACTGGCTGCTCTTCCAGAGGTCCTGAGTTCAATTCCCAGAAAACACATGATGGCTCACAACCATCTATAATGAGATCTGGTGCCCTCTTCCGTTGTGTAGACAGAACACTGTATATATAATAAATAAAATCTTAAAAAAATATATATGTATAAGAAAAGCTGGCAAGAACAATCCAAGCTAAGGATGGGTATTCAAAACAAAGAATACATATCTGTGTATTTACTTGGGAGCTCAGTGGTGGGCCCCCAAAAAGCAAAAAGAGTAAAGAGTAAAAGGAATAAAAACCAACAATGAAAAGCATCATAATAATGAATTTGTGATGTGTTTATTATTAAAAATGCTTAATTGGGTCTACAGTGAAAAAGTACATTGGGCAGAAATAAATGCAAAATGTACAGTTTGGAGAAGAAAAGAACAGGAGATCTAATGACACAGCCAAGGTTTGTGTTGAAAGAGATAGAGAGATTAACATCATTAAGAAGACACTTCCAGCTTAACACTAGATAAAGGGAAGGGTGTGATCTCAGGGTAAGAACCCACCCAACTAGGCTTCCAACTGGTGAAAAAGTATAAGGCATTTCCTGCTCCTAGAAAGCAACAGAAGAAAAGCTCTGCTGCTAATGACAGAGTGTCCATCCCAAGCTGGCAGTCTTATCATTCACAGGCTACTAGCTTTGGAGGAACGAAGGTGTTATAGATTCTCTCCCAGTTTACAGACAGACAACTGCTAGACTCCAATATTAGAGGCGGCATGCCTGACAGTTTGAAATAAAAGGGCTAGTGGAGTAAGCTGGACTGAGGATGTAGTTCAATGGTAGAATGCTTGCCTAGCATATACAAGTCACTGGCTTCAATCTCCAGGACCAAAAAGAGGAAAGAAAGAAAGAGGGGGAGAGAGAGAGAGAGAGAGAGAGAGAGAGAGAGAGAGAAACCTATACAAAGAACATTGTTTGTGATTAAAAGGAACAGACTAGAGTCTTAAAAACCCAACTGGCATCCTCATTATTAAGAGAAGGCAGTGGTTCCTCTGACCCTCAGTCTCCCCTTTTATTTCAGAAGTGGTAGTTTTTATTATTCAAGCTATTGAGAAATCAAGAGCATTAATTTTACAAAGTAATTCTTACTTTAAAAACAGAGACAAACAAAATGATAAAGTCAAGGCAAGACAAAAGAATAGATAGAACAGGAAGGCAAGACATTAAAACCTAGTGCTGCCTAACATCAGTCTGACTTCACCATGTATGTCTCAAGAGCATCACTTATAAAATATATTTGCCTAATTAGATATGCAAAATCCAGTTTCATCTACCCATCACAATACTACATTATTATTAAAATCACTTACCAGTTACCTTTAGCTGTAACCTTTCACTGTGGTTATCACTAGTATCAGACCTTGGTGAAGCAGTGGCCATGTCCCAAAATTCACCTTGACTCTATTAAAAAAAAAAAAAGATAATTTGTTCTTGCATCAGAGAGATTTCAATTTTCAAGATGATTAAAACTGCATTTAAATCAATGAATATTCACACTCATCACAAGTTCTCAATTGTCTTTTTCATTTAAAATTAAGACAGTATAGATACATTATATAAGAGTGTGGCCATTTAACCATGTCTGAGTGAACTTGAGCAACAAAGTAAATGATAATACTAAGAATTCAGGATCATATGTTCATTAAAAATGAATAGATACATGAATATTCAAATGCTACATATTTATGTATTACTAAAATCTCCTGAGTATATAACCTTTTTATTCTTGAACACTTCAGTGTGTATTTTCTAAGAATAAAAACATTCTCCTAGATAATCAGAGTACAATAATTAAACTAAGGAAAATTTAAACTGTACACTTAACCAAGAACTTAAATTTTGTTAAAAAGTAAAATTAAAAAGCAGAGTTAACTATAGCTTTCTTCTACAGACCAAATATCTCAAGGTTCAACTTCTATCCACCTTTAATGTACTAAAGATTAAAGTGTGATATTCTGGGAAAAAATGAGAAATACTAATATCATCTTGATTTCCCCTTAATTTATTGTCTTTTCTGTGCTTTATTTAGATCCTTTCCCTAAATTTAGGGACCAATATTCTGAAATCATTACACTCTCTTCACTTGCTTAGCTTTGCATAGATTATGTGTTGGGATATGCACAAGTGCATATGCAGACACACAAGATAAGAGTTGCCTATTGTATGATCAAGACCTCATGCAGGTCAATACTCTTATTCTACAAAAGAGGAAACAGTTTTACAAATGATATCTACTTAAGAGCAATCAGCTGTCGTGTTCATATAAGAAAACCAAAGACTCAGCCCTACATTATACAGACTGAAAGAATTATATTTAGAAATATATAAGTATATACCTATATGTATATGCATGCAATAAAAATTAGTGAAAAACAAGGCCATGAATTTGAAAGAGATTAAAGAGGGTCATATGGGGGACAGGGGTTGGCAGGAGAAAAGGGAAGGTAAAAATATATTAAATTCAAAAATAAAAAAATAGAATGAATTTTTAAAAAAGAAATCAACTGAAATGGAACACTTAAATCATCAACAAAGGGAATAAAGTCCATGGAAATTGAAGGTTTTTTCAATTTCTAGCAGGCTGGTATACTACATATTATGAAAGACATCCCTTCTTGCTTTAACATAAACACTTCCTGCATAACTCAAGACCAAGTGTCTATTTTCCAAATTCTATTATGTTCTTTAGTGTGGATATCATCAAACCTATTCCATACTTATATAATGGTAACCTTAAATATATGTATGTATGTATGTATGTATGTATGTAAGAAATAGATAATTCAGTGTACAAAGGCACCTGCTGCCAAGGCTAACAATCTTAGTTTAATTCTCATATCCCACAAGTTGTCCACTAACTTCCACATTTTATTTATTCCACATAATAAAATTAATGATAACTAGTATAGACAAACAAACCACATGTTATCCTGGGTGTGCATGCAGTGTATGGTCAAAAGGCAAAATCTGGGCCTGCTGAAAATGAAGGAACTGAGACCTCATTGTGAGGCCCCATGACAAAACTGCATCAGAGCACCCAGAATCCATTGACATATACCCTTAGGATAACACCCAAACTTAGCCACAGGGTTTACCCAAAATGAAGAAGAACCTAATCTACACCTACAAGTAAGAGTCAGTGGAAATACAATACAATAGTTTCTGACTGTTAAGACTTCTCAAACTTCTTTATAATTCTAGTTTTAGCGATGAATGATGGAATAAAGGATGGCTAATCAAAAAAAAAAAAAAACTATAACAAGATAATATTTGGAAACCAGTCAGAGAAGTGGGTGAGTGACCCACCTGTATGCTGAGTAGCCGCACTCCCTGGATTCTGTTACCCCAAGACCCATTCTGCTGCCCAACCCTTCCTTTCTCATCATCCTCTCCATGACTAGCCCTTCCCCGCAATTCCAGTAGACTTCATTGGCTCAGGTCCCATCCACACCAGTCAGAACAAATGAGTGACCTGTCTGCCTGCCAGCCAACATGACCCACTCCCCAAATTCTGATCCCCAGGTTCCATCCCACAACTCCACCCCTACCTCATCTCCACACCTGCAAAATCCCTCACACCAGTGTGAAGAGCAGACTTCAGAGGCTCAGGTACAGACCACACCAGTTGGAAAAACAGGTACAGGCAAAAGCAGTAAGAAAAACAGGTCACACCACTCAGAAGAACAAAGACCTGCTGCACCAAAGGCCAAGCTAAACACACCAGAAGGCCAGTTCCTAACTTGGAAAGAGACTCCCTACAAGACCAGAGATCATGCTGGCCACCAGAAATCCAGGCCACAAAGACCAGAAGACTAAAAAGGAATCAGAAACCAAGGTATAAAGCACCCATCCAACAAAGACAAACACAGAAATCAGGACCCAGACCTATAGTCATCACAAAGCCAGATATCTAAAAACCAGTGTAAGAATATAATCAAAAACAGGCATGGCAACATGGCACCACCAGAGCACAGTTATCCTATGACAGCAAGACCTGAATATTACAGGGCAGCTGAAGCACAAGAAAAATATTGAAACAACATTAAGAATATGAGGTCCTTAAAGAGGAAATGAAAACTCCCATAAGGAAATCGAAGAAAAGATAGCCAAAAAAATGGAAGAAATCAACAAATCCCTTAAAGAATGCCAAGAAAACCAAGAAAAACTAAGCCCCCACACATTAATAGAGAGAATATTCAACACCCCACTCTCACCAATGGACAGGTTGTCCAGACAGAAACTAAGCAGAGAAATAACGGAACAGATGTAATGACTCAAATGGACCTCATGGGTATCTACAGAACATTTCATCCAAAAACAAAAGAATATACCTTCTTCTCAGCACCTCATGAAACCTTCTCCAAAATTTACCTCATACTCAGCCACAAGGCAAGTGAAGACAGACACAAAAAATCTGAAGTAACCGCATGTATCTTATCAGATCACCATGGATTAAAACTGGATTTCACAGCAACAGAAACTACAGAAAGCCTACAAATTCATGGAAAAAGAACAACTCTCTCTGCTGAATGACTACTGGATCAAGGAAGATATAAATAAATAAAAGACTTCCTAGAAATCATAAAAAATGAGTGTACAGAATATCCAAAGTTATAGACACAATGAAAACAGTGCTGGCCCCAGACTGATCACTGGGAAACCAGTATGGAATGATCCAGACCCCATAAATATGGGTGTCAGTGAGGAGGCCTCCGAAATATATGGGGTCTCTTGTAGTAGATAAGTACTTATCCCTAGAGTAGGAATACACTTTGGGATCCCATTTCACATAGAGGGATACTATGTGACACACAGGGGTGGGCCTAGACCCTATCCCAAAGGATATGACAGATTCTGAAGACCCCCCCCCCAGGGAAGGCCTCACTTTCCCTTGGGAGCAGAAATGATATTGGATAAGTAGGGTGTTAGTGGGGGGTAGCGGAGGAGAGGAGGGAGAGGGAACGGGGATTGACATGTAAAACAATCTTGTTTCTAATTTAAATAAAAAATTAAAAAAAAAAGGAAAACAGTGCTAAGAGGAAAATTCATAGAATTAAGTGCCTACATAAAGAAATTGGAGATATCTCACACTAGCAACTTAACAGCACACCTGAAAGCTCCAGAACAAAAGAAGCAAACACACCCAAGAGGAGTAAAAAGCAGGAAATAATCAAACTCAGGGCTGAAATCAATAAAATAGAAGCAAAGACAATACAAAAAAAAAAAAAATCAATGAAACAGAGTAGGTTGTTTGAGAAAAAATAAACATAGACAAACCAAAATTCAAACTAACTAAAAGACACAGAAAGGAAGAATAACAAAGTAACAAAATCAGAAGCAAAGGGGGACATGTAACAGGCACTGAAGAAATCCAGAAAATAATTGTCAACCTTAAAAAACCCATACTCCACAAAATTGGAAAATCTAAAAGAAATGGCCAAATTTCTTGATAGATATCATTTACCAAAATTAAATAAAGATCAGATAAACAATTTAAACAAACCTATAACCCCTAAGGAAACAGAAGCAGTCATTAAAAGTCTCCTAACCAAAAAAAATGCCCAGAGCCAGACTGTTTTAGCACAGAATTCTACAGACTTTCAAAGAAGAGCTAAAACTAATACTCTTCAAATTATTCCACAAAATGGAAACAGAAGGAGCATTGCTAAATTCTGAGGCCTTAGTCACTCTAATACCCAAATACACAAACTCTCAACAAAGAAAGGTAATTACTGACCAATTTGCCTCATGAAAATAGATGCAAAAATGAGTCAATACATACTAGAAAACAAAATCCAAGAACATATCAAAAAGACCATCAAGTAGTCTTCATCCCAGATATGCAGGGATGGTTTAACAAATGAAATCCTGACAATGTAATCCACCATGTAAACAAACAGATTAAAATGCCACATGATCATCTCATTAGATGCTGAAAGAGCCTTTGATAAAATACAACACTCCTTCATGATAAAGGTCTTAGAGAGATCAGGGATACAAGGAACATACCTAAACATTAAAAAGCAATATATATAGCAAGCAGATTGCCATAATCAAATTAAATGGAAAGAAACACAAAGCTTTATTTAGCCTCAGTTTCCTCACTTTTCATTACAAAATGGAACAAAAAGAACATCAAAAGAGTACACACCCTTAATCCCAGCACTGGGGAGAAAAAGGCAGGAAGATCTCTGTGAGTTAAGAGACCAGCCTGTCCCTACAGAGTGAGTTCTAGGACAGCCAAGACTGTTACACAGAGAAACCCTGTTTAGAAAAAAACAAACAAACAAACAAAAACAAACAAAAAAATGTCAGTGAGCAGGATGACCCAATTCCCCAAGGTTCCCAGGGGAAGAGGGAAGCCTGCTGCCACAGCCGGCCCTATTAGGCAGCTGAGAGAC